ATATATATATATATATATATATATATATATATATATATATATATCTTGAAGGGTTAATGGGTATAAACATTTATGTCCAAATATTTTCTTTCTTATCACTCGTATCATATTTTTTTGTGAAAACCCTTTTTTTTTGTTATAAATTTATGATGTTTTGTGAAAAAGGTTTTCAACTTATCACACACATAATTTAATCTCTCTTCTTGTATGTTTGTTTAAACTTCAAACATCTCCTTGTCTAGCATATTGTTTTAATACATATTTGCAATTTCACTTATTATTTGGTTTTCCAAGCTTGTCCTTCATCCTTTTACACTTTCTTACCAAATTAGGTATTAGTATACATGTTATTCAATGACAAACCTTCATTATAGTAAGGCTTGACAGATGCACTCTCTCGTTTTAATTGAATTATTTGTGTATGTTTAAAAATATTATATTTTACACCCCTAATTTTATATATTAAATTCATTGATGATTGGTTTTGACATTTATGTGTTGTTCTTTGTAAATGAGATAGAGATTATTATTATTATTATTATTATTTTAATTGTTCCCATTAATCTAGGATCTTAGATCCACCATTGAATTGATATTGCTCAATTATACTATATTATGTTACTAATTTACAATTAAATCATTTCATTTTCAAGAATCCTTATAATTTGAGAACTAACCACTCCAATTACACACATATATCAATCTAACTACATACTATGGTCACTAACCTAATTTTAGGAAAAGGAAAACACAAAATTTAACAAGTAAACTCTTAATTTCATCTATACAATCCACTTACATGATTAATGGTTACCAATATCATAGTCCCAATTCACCAAAAGTCATATAGTTCGTCTAATATCAACATAACAAACCAAATTCAAAAATCAATAGCATAATTGAAAACAAACACAACAATTTTAATCGGTCAATATCCTCACTATCATCAATAAGAAAACCCTTAATGATGAAACTAATGATAAGATGCTTGAGGTTTCTTCTCAACAAGCTCCATTGATGCTCCAATCTTTATCCATGGACTCCAAAGCTTCAGGACAAACCAAAAATGATGGAAAAGTAAGAAAAATAGTGTACCACTTCCTAGGAGGATAAGCAAAAGATGAAGAACTTGCCACAAGGAGAAATTATCTGATAAACATTCATAAGGAGAAAAGTTCTCCAAAGCGAGAGCAAAGCCTTTTAAAAGAAAAATTTGAAAAACTCAATTCTCATTTCATTCAAAAGTGACATCCAAATGAGGGGGAACATCAATATGTAGAGTTTGGTAACTAGTGGTGTATGTTAAGCTAACCATGGTTACATGTAACCAAAGTTAGATTAACTTGTACTAGAGACTACTAACTCTTGTTACATTTACAAATTTGAATTTTCCTCCTAAAAATATCACTATCCTAAATCTAAGAGTCAATGGTAGCATGCCACATGAAAATGTGCAAATAGTGTGACTAGATGTCAACATCATGGATCTAAAAGAGTCAAAGGGATCATGCCACATGACAATGTGCCAAAAGTGTGACTAGGTGTAATACATGTGACTTGTTAGAATTTGAATAACTCATGAGAGGTAGTAGTCCACAAAGTGGAAGTCCAACCTTGGGGTTTCCACACCCTTCCCCCACTCTCTCATGGGTCATTCAAGTTCAATAAACACATATATCATTTACTAGTTACACCCCATAAAATACTAATTACACCTCTAAAAAGAAAATTACAAGGGAATAAATTCTTACACTAATTGACCTAAACATACAAGGTTAAAAATAATAAAATATTTACAATATATATATATATATATACACAAATAAGATATGAACTAAAGAATTAACCTATAACTTAAAATGAGATTAGACTTTTTACCTTCATCACGAGCACATTCCTCTTACATCTTTTTTTGACATTGTCCTTATAATATGACCTTTAAGGAAAATATGTCATCACTTAAGCTTATTATTTAGGAACTTATTCATAAAATTTTCTAATGAAAGAAACGTAGAAGTTTGTCACTGTAACGTAGTAAGTTAATTCAGAAGGCCCAAAATCCCAGTATAGGTGATTTAGTAGCTTAGAATGGGCCGTTCAAAACTACTAAATTGACCTATAAATCGTAGTTGTGGAGAACGGGCCGTTCTGGATGAGTCCCAGAACGGGCCGTTCTGGTTTCAGAATGGGCCGTTCTGCATGTGATTTTTGCACATGACGAAGGGGTGTAGAACGGGCCATTCCGGATTCGAAATGGGTCGTTCTGGCCATTCCTGAACTTCTATAAATTGGGGTTGTGGGTAGTTGAGGAGAATGAGAGGTTTTAGAGAGAAGTTCTAGAGAGAAGGACTCTAGGTCTATGAGCTCCTTTCTCTCTCTAATTTCTCTGTATGATTATTCTTCTCCTCTAGACCACTAATGACTTCTGTCTTCTCTTGAATTTCAGACTAGAAAGCTTGTTTTTGGAGGACTGAAGTTCAAGAGTCAAGCTTGGAGGATATTTCTTCTTCTTTTTCTTCTTCTCAGATTCTTGGCGATTTAGAGCCAATCTTCAGGTGAGGGAAGCTAGAATGTAGGTTGTTTAATTTCAGGAGAGTTAGGGAAGCTTTATGCATGATGTTCTTTTGTTGAAATAGTTGAGTTATTGGGTGCTTAAGTTGATTTATGTTGTTTATAATGTGTAAGTTGACATGATAGATGAATTTTAAATATGTTGTATATTGCTGAAGTTGTTTATAAAGTTGTTAAGTTGTATTAAGTTGATATTGTAATGAATAGTTGTTTAATTAAGTTGTCTGTATGTTGTTAAAAAAATTATTAAAGTTGCATAGTTGTTTAATTGAATAAGAAGTTGTCAAGCTGGTATATAATGCCTATTGTTGTATTGTTGTAAGTTGTCTATCGTTGAAAGATGTCTATTGCTATAAAGTTGTTAAGATGTATATTGTTGTAAAGTTGTTAAGATGTCTATTGCTGTAAAGTTGTTAAGATGTCTATTGTTGTAAAGTTGTTAAGATGTCTATTGCTGTAAAGTTGTTAAGATGCCTATTGTTGTAAAGTTGTTAAGATGCCTATTGTCGTAAAGTTGTAAAGCTGCCTATTGTTGTAAAGTTGGAAAGTTAGGGACATATGGTGAAGATATATGTCCTATGTTGAGATACATAGTACTAAGGTGATAATTTGAAAGTGGTTTTAAAGTTGAATCCCTTAGTACTGTGTGGGCGACATGGAAGTAGTCGATCCATGTCATGGTTGAATGACCAATTTGAGTAAGGTATCCAATTAGAGATGTAGTCTTTGACTAGGTACTAGAGGGTGCGTGGTACTTGGAGGACAGTGGGTGGGCTAACTCCATATGTGGATTGGTGACGCTAGCCAAGGTCGTGGTAGTCATACCCAAACCCTTCTGTCCTGATAGTAGTATTGGACCTTCGAGTCTAAGTGACACACCTGAGCAATCGCCTATTATTGTCTATACTTGGTTCTCTTCGGAGTTCCTAACGTTGTTCTATACCTGACCTGGTTGAGATAGGTCAAACGCTAGATTCAGTAGGGTTTATGCCACCTAGACTGCTCAACCTCAATTGTTGGAGATCTCCCAGTTGTATATGCGTGACGACGCATTAAATATTAAGTTGTATATTGTTGTTGTTGTTGTATTAAAGTTGCTT